AGGAACCGGACTACCATGTGTCGTCCTTCCCCTTTTTCGCCCAGGCGGATGGGTAGATCTACTCGTCCCAGTGGGTGGACTCCTCCTCCTCCAAAACCTATTAAAGGGTGGGAGGCCGGATGTATGCAGTCCGTCTGATATTTCAGTTTTGACAGACATTTGCTGCTGATGAGATCTGAAGAACTCCCGGTATCTATGAGGATTCGGCCAACTCTCTGGTTGGCCACTTTACATTCAATGACGAGAGGGTCGTCATGCGGCCCCCTTATTCCTCCTAGATCCTCTTCAGTGATGACAATCTCAGGAAATGTATATTTAGACGGCCGTTCTTGGTGAACGGAATTTACATCTAACCGCCTTATATTATCTTTGTTGCCCCTAATAGTGGGACCGCCTCCTGAGAAGCCGCCTGCAATGGTGTAGACGACTGCATCATCTGTATCGGAACTGTCGGCCTGTTGGTTCTTTTTGGCCGACTGCTTTTTTGAGGAAGTATTCCCCGTAGATTTCTTGACATAAGTGTCAAGATCACCTTGATCAGCCAAGCGGTCTAGGTACCGCATGAGACTGATGCAGTCATTGGTGTGATGACCAATGTCATCATGATAAGCGCAGATTTTGTCTTGGTTCCGGTTGCTCGCAGAACCCTTCATGGGGAGCGGCTTCTCAATTGAGAGCCGTCCCTTTATTTCTTTTAGGATAAACTGGTTATCCTTGTTAAACACATACTTTGGGGAGTATGGTTTGAATTCTTTTTTCTTTTTCTGGGCCGGCTGTTTAGAGGAATCAGCCGCCCAGACCCCTTTTCTTTTTTCATCTTTGTTGGACGACTGTTTCTGTCGTCCCTCTCTATTGTCGAACCTCTTCCCGTCCGACTGTTTCATCGTACACAGATCAGTCGCCTGTATATAGGCTTCTGCTTCAATCAAGGCCTCTTGAAGAGTCGCCACCCTTTTTCGAACTAAATCAAATTTGAAGGTAGACCCGTCTTTGAGACCTCTAAAAAAGTCAGTATAAGCTACCTCATCCGGTAACCCTTGAATCTGTATTCTCATCAGGTTGAACCGCCTGATGTAGGAACGAAGCCCCTCCTTTTCACCCTGCTGAATTGTTCCCAAATCAAGGGTCGTTTTCTTCGCAGGGATGTTCATTGCGAAGTTGGAGGCAAATAAGTAAGCAAGCGTCCTGAAGCTGTTTACACAACCAGTCGGCAGGTTGCCGAACCATTGCTGTGCAATTCCCTTGAGAGTCGCTGGGAAACACTTGCACCAAGTGGGATCATCCAACCCTTGGAGGTACATCAGGTTGGTGAATGCCATCAGATGGTCTTCCGGGTTAGTAGTGCCATCATAGGCGCCTACTAAAACATTTTTTACTTTGGCCGGCTGAGCGGCTTCAGTAATTTCCTTGGAGAAGGCCGACGGCTGTTCACCAAGTCTAAGCAGCCGTAGCTGCCAGTCCATAGGTTGGACGTTTTTTGCTGCAGGTCCACCAAATGGAGGTGGCTGCATAAAATATTGTTGTTGCGGCACAAATGGCAAGTTTGGTACCGCCTGCGCACTATGAAAGCCGGACTGACGGGAGGTGCCGCCTGACTGACTCTCATGGTACGACTGAGTTGGCCTCATCGAGGCATTTCGCAAACTGTCCTGAAAATTTGAAGTAGAAGCCGACTCTGATAATCGGTCACTCTTCTTCTGCTCTAGCAGGTGCCGAGCATCTGTGAACGTTTGCTTTGACCCGTCCGCCTGAATATGACGAACCGGTTTCCTATTTCCCGTAGGATAACGGAGTTTTGTGAAATCAAGAGCAGACGGCTCCCGCTTCTTAGATTTAGGATGGGGAGTCGCCTCTCGCCCTTGAACTGGCTTCCTCTTCAGTGAAGTGGAAGGTTTTTTTGGCCGACTGCTCTTTGACTGAAGCAGGCGGTTTTTTGTTGATCAACTCTTGGATCTCTCCCTTGAAGCCCCTCATGAAGGTCATGAGTTCGTTCCTTGTGATGGGAGCAGACCCATCAGTCGGCTGTTGCCGAGCAAGCGGTGCGCCTGCTGGCTCGCTTCCTGTTTGAAGATACTCCCGTTCCCTTATTTCAGTATGACGGGTACGGCGGGCCCTTAGGGTCCCGTCTGGAGCTGTATGAGTTTCAACTTCAAATTCACTTTCGGTATCATGGTCCGACTGAACTTGAGGGTCGTCTAGGGGACGCCTCTCTTCTGGAATCGGTACAGACTTGGATGCCATCTCTGAAGTACTCTCCCCACAGACGGCGCCAAATGTTTCGGGGTTTTCTGATGTCCTGCGGGAGAGTTACAATTCCGAGACTGGAACCGGACGCCTGTACCTGCAAAATAACGGAGACTCCTGAGAGCTCCGCCTCCAACGGTCAAGTTAGTACCTGATTAAGGAGTAATCAATACAGAAATTAAAGTAATCAGATCTCTCTAGGTGAGAGTGCTTAGTGTTGGTAATCTGCGTTGTTAGCGAGATTAGCCGGTTGTTAATAAGTCTGTTCTTCTCTGCTTGATCTCTTAATTATTCGGTTCTGTGATTAATGAGGATTAATCGAGTATTTATAGCCTTGGGAAGCGTGCAACTCTCTAGGTTTAAGGTAAACCTAGGGCTGATCGGGCCTCTAGACTGAAATGGGCCTTGATGGCCGGTTGTCCCATTTGGCATGGGTGGACACGTGGCGTGTCTTAAGTGGTCCGTGGAGGACGTATCTGTGATTGACACGTGGCAAGCTCCTGTTGGCCTTCGTGAAGGACACGTGGCGGAACCTGGTTGGTCCACTTGTCAGACGGTGATTGGTGGATAAAAATCCCCTAATCAAATCCTACCACAAGTCCCAAAGGCTGAGTTAAGCCTTTCATGCCAAACATTCCACATACTAACTCAAACTTCTCTTTATATAACATAAGATCATCACATGAAAGCACAAGTCCTACCAAAACCGAAATTACCCTATGTACAAAGACCCCAAGACTTCCCCCAAGCTAGACATGTGATTATCGTTCCCACGATAGATGGACACAATGAGAAACATCTCTCCCCAAGCTAGAACTCTACACCGGCCTCGGTGTTTTACATGATGGGAAAGAAGAGAAGGGGACAGTAAAAACAAGTGTCTAAAAGCTACTCCCGATCATCCTCTCTAGGTGGCGATGGCATGTAGTTATAGTTGATGTCTACATCGCCGAAAAAAGAAGGTTGATCCACGTATGGAGGAAGATCATAGTTGGGGCTACTACGATAGTGACCGTAGTCCGGCGCACTACTAGTACCCCAACCATCGTCATACCCGGGTGGAAACCCGAAGTATCCCCTTAAGGGGGTGGTTATCGATCTTCTCGGGAGACATCTTACCACTTGTCTCGGGCACGTGGTAATAAGAAGGGCCCCCCTAAAATCACAACCTCTAGGTTATGTATAATCGTAGGGAGGGAAGTATTGTAGCTCCGAAATGGAGCTATGGGGTCCTTGCCTATAGGAATAGGTGGCTTGGTTGTTGTTCCAACCCGGAACCGGCCCCTCTTGCACGGGGCGGTGAGGATAGTTGACATAGGGAGGAAATCTCCCCTCTCAACTTGGTTTTGATAGGACATTTGAGACACATAGCTTTGATATTCATTTTCTTGGAGAATTCTTTGGTTGGTAAGGTTGAGGTGGTGAAAGGCCGACTCAAGATCGAAGAAGGAGGAAGATGAGGAGGATTGGCCGCCCATAAAAGTAGGAATGGTAGATACGCTATGGCTGTGGGGTTGAGATGGTTGGTCAAGATCGGGAACGTTCCGAGGGGGTGGCTCATTTGGCACTTGCCAAGTGTTCCCCACAGTGTTCAATACCGCCGCATTAGGGAGAATGTAACGGTGTTTCCCCTTGACCAACCAAGAGTAGGTGGTCACATTTCCCTGGATTTCCACAAGCATATGCATTGAGGCAAGTCCGGCAAGGTCAAGGGCATTGGAGCCATTCACCGGGGTTAATTGCTCAACCTAATTGGTGAAATGCAATGCCTTGGAAATGATAGTGATCATCCCACTGCACTTGATCTCACCCGTCAACTCCAAACTCTTCTTAATTTTGAGGCACCGTTTAACAAATAAGTACCCCATATTCACATTACCCTCAAGTTCCCCCTTAAATCGGGAAGCTATAAAGAGGCATTTTATCTCCTCTTTAGTTATCTTCCCGAGATCTTGCTTTGAGAAGCAACGTACCCCATAATTCTCATGAATATACGGAGTACGGGGTGGAAAATGTGGCTAGCATGGCTAGACCGGGTAGTGAATTTGGGGTATTCCGCGATAGTATTCCACCAATTGTACTCCTCGTAACTGTTGAGGTAGAAATTATCGGGATCGATTATTTGGTTGTTAACGGGCCATCCGAAAATCTGATTAAGGCGAGTTAAGCTTAATGTTTTTAGTTGGTTGAACATATTAAACTTAAGCTCGCACTCAATAGGATCACCCTCACCACTAACCTTTCGCATGGTTAAGGTAGAAAGGAATTCGAGAGTGAGCGATTCGTAAGTTAGCTCCCTTTTTTTGAGGAAGTCTAACCATCTGAAATTTTCAGCCACTTGTAGAATTCCATTGTCTATACCTAAGCGTGGGGAAATTAGGTTGTTGAGTAACCTCCTCACGACCAAACAAAATTTATTATAATCCTAAACTAACCCCTAAACAAGTCTAGTGGTAAGTTCGGAGTTGAACCACAAGGAACGATAATGTTAGATTGTTCTCGATCTAATGCTTAAGCTACGCCGAATTTGATCTATGGATATTGGACACTACAACTACACTAACACACATATAAGGAGGGCAGACCCAGGCAATCATCTTGATTTACAAAATATTATAAATCAGGACTTTTGGTGGGCCCCATAGCGTACTGCATATTAATTTTATATTCCTTTGTACTTTTTCTCGTTAAGGACGGATTGTTGTCGTTAGTGTGGGCCATATAACGAGACTGTTAACGTCGTTAAGATCAAACCCAAACGTAAAATAGGAATTCCCCAAAAATTTCGACCCTCTTTTTTGGAACGCCATTGCTATCTTCATTTAGATTTGTTGGCCGATCCTTGACTACTCGAAAGATGACATAGGATTGTCGAGAAACTCAAATTACCTGCTTACTCGCACTTCCAGGTATTTCAATTAATAATTTTACATTTCTGTTTATATGTACTGATTAGTACTGCTTAGAGCTGTTTCTGGGTATCTCATTTGATCAGATTTGTCTAAGTCAAAATTATATGATTGTGAATTTTACTTAGTACTCGAGATTGGGCTCCTTATTTTCAATCCTATTCTGGCAATTTTATACTGTAATGGTGATGATGCGTTTCAGGGACTCGGTTACCTTAGCTACATTATATTTTCATCAATTATGTATATGTAGGGTTGTGTTGTTTCATTAATCAGTTCAGCATCTTTGAATTTAGTTTATGTAGAGGTTTATAGATAATGCTTTAATTTAATTAAATAATTTCTATCACTGATAAACAAATTGATTAATGCAAACACTCTAATTAGTTGAAACTGCAGTGTGATTAGTTGATTTTGGCATATTTATCTTCATAAGGCTGCTGTAAGTGACAGATTTCTTTAGTATTGGAGTGATATTGTCCCTAAACCTAGGTTGTGACATTTAGAAAAAAGCCTGAATTACTTGTATATTGATTGTGTTTAAACTATGGTTTGATGTAATGGAGTTTCTTATATTATTTGATTTTCCCTTTATTACTTTAATATTCATGGTGGTGCTTATATTTGTTAGGCTGTGGAAATTTTTCCCTTATTAGCTTTAGATTAGGTAGTTACAATAGTTTTAATTTTAAATTTTTGGCTAAAATTATTCTCATGTTTTAACAGGTAATGCCGTAGGTTCAATAATAAACATCAATACGCAATGGAAGAGACTATTAATGGATCAAGTGATATTGAGGAGGCAGGTCAAGTAAACATTATTGACCCTATGTCAGATTGTCTTGTTGTGGGTGCTGAGGTAGGTCCCTCTGCAGTGTGTGTTCCTAATTATGTGATGTCTCCAATGAAGACCATAGAGACTATAGAAGTAATAGTGTCAACCAATAAGGTTGCTGTGTATGCTACCATTGAAAGTCCTAAAGTTGGTATGGTTTTTAAATCATGGCAAGAGGTTGAGTCATACTACAAACAATATGCTGAGCAACAAGGATTTGTTGTCACAAGGTCTCAAGGATGGGTGTCGAAGAAGAATAATGAGAGGCGGGGACTACTTGGTGGTGTGAATGTTGGGGTCATCCGGATACGAGGGCTAGGCGGGCAGCAAGCAAAAGGGCTAAGTCCATGGATGTCAGTGGGGTTGGCAAAGTTGATGGAGTTATTGGGGAAGATGAATTATCTCGCTATAAAAGGACATCTAAGAAATGTGAATGTGGTGCCATGATATATGCTAGCATGAATCAAGAGGGCCTTTGGGTGTTGCGAAAGGTTTTCCTTGATCATGTCCACAAAGTGTCCCCGACTGAGTCCAAGTTGGTCAAGGAATATCGTATGAAGAAGTTAACAACAAATGTTAGAAAGAACCTAATACACTTCTATGATGAGGGTACCCCAGTAACTCAGATTCATGGTTGTTTGGGGTTGGACAAAACTGAAGAAATCCTGCCTACCGTGAAGGATTTACAACACGAGATCTACAAGGAGAGAAGGACGCGTTTGAATATGGCTGGTGGTGATTGTGCTGCTATGATGGAGTATTTTGAAAAGATGCAAGCTGATAACTCTAATTTCTATCACACACACCGCCAAGATGAGGATGCCCGTATGAAAGATGTGATGTGGGTGGATGCTCGTAGTATGGCGACGTTTGAGTATTTTGGAGATGTTTGCATGGATGCCACATATCTTACAAACGAGTATGAGCTCCCCTTTGTAAATGTCGTAGGAGTCAATCATCATGGGCCATTGATATTGTTGGGTTGTGCTCTCGTGTCACATGAAGATACGGACACCTATTGTTGGTTCATCCGTCAATGGTTGGCTTGCATGAGTAATAATCCACCTAAGTCAATCTTAACTGATCAAGCGGCTGCCATTCGTAAGGCAATTTCCCTAAAGATGCCTACAGCACGACTCAGATGGTGCATATGGCATATAATGCGTAAAATTCCGGAAAAGCTCGGGAAATGTGATGGGTTAGTACTCCGGTCAACCACTTCATTTTTGTTAGTTTCCTAGATTGTCTTTGAATGAATAAAATCAATAATGTTTCTCCACATTTAAATTTTAATGCATGCCTTGCAGTGTACATAATGCATTGTTGTTAATACAGTCCTGTTTTATGTTGATGGCCACTTTCTAGTTAAATTTTTAGGCATTGATTTTGCTGAAATGAAATTCACCTTTATGGTGAAACTATTCTTGATTTTATCATGCTTTAAATTATTATTTTACATGGAGTCCTTTTGTATTTTATTAATGGTTAGTTTAGGTGGGATCTATGTTAATACAGTTCTGTTTTATTATGTCGATAGATACCTAACACATGCTGTTGTGCTTAATCTGAATTTAGTATTTATATTTCGTTACCGTATTTAAGTGTTGTATTTAGATTAGAACACCCCAATTATATCTAACACATTGCTGCATCTTTTATTTATTTTCTTGTATTGCTCTATACAGTTTTAAGTTATATGTAATTAGTCACTAAGGACAGTGATCCTAATGTGTATCCCCGAATAAATTAGATTTTTATGCTCTGATTCCTGTTTGTCTAATTTTTTCAGTTACATGGACTTTAAAAGTCCACTGAAGAAAGTCATTTATGAGAGTTTTACCAAGGAGGAATTTGAGAGTAGATGGATTTCTCTCGTTAATGAACACAAATTGGAGGCAAATGATTGGTTATCTGATCTTTATGAGGAGAGGCATATGTGGGTACCTGCCTTCATGAAAGAGCATTTTTGGGTTGGGATGAAGACAACTCAACGTGTCGAAAGCATTAATAGCTTCTTTGATGGCTTTGTCAATAGGAACACAAAGTTGCATGAATTCCCTTTGAAGTATAACAGGGCCATGACCAAGCGTGTTCGTGATGAAAACAATGCGGATGCTAGGTGTTCCAAGTACGAAAGGCGTCTAGTAAGTGGGTTTAAGTTGGAGAAGATATACACTAACACAAAATTTCAGGAAATTCAAAAGGAGTGTGCTCATATGATGTATGTTTATCCTCGGGAAGAGCGCATTCTGCAAGACAATCTTGTTTAGTATGTGTTGGAGGATCGGGTATGGATTATTCGCGAGGGATCAAAACAGGAAAAAATAACTGACCGTCGAAGGTTCTTATGTGTTACCTTCAATCCGGAAACAAAGGAGGTTACTTGTGACTGTGGCAAGTTCGAAACCTTTGGAATTTTGTGCAAGCACTGCATCCGTGTTTTAGACCAACATCTTGTCTTTGAGATTCCAAAGCAGTACATACTTGACAGGTGGAGAAAAGACATAGTGAGAAGGAACACAAGAATAAAGGTCTCGTACTATGACCCTTCTGATACAATTGAGGTGAAACGTTTCAACAAAATGATGACCAAATTTGAGTATTTGAGTCCATTTGTGAAGATGCCTCTGCGGTTGATGATCCGACTGTTGATTTGGTTATGGAGAGGTTAACACAGCTTTCTAATGAAGTAATCGAGGCTAGGAGTGCATTTCAAAGCAAGAAAAATCCACCAGGTCTTCCCAAAACCAACATACTCCATCTGAGATTGGATCCAACTCCGCTTTTGCTAAATTTACCCCTCTATCTGTTACTAAACCTATTGCACTTGAAAAAAATGACAACACTGAAACTATTATTGATCCAAAGACTAGAAAAAAAAACCACGTGGTCGTTCCAAGATTACCAGGTACAAGTCTTATGCGGAGACCGGGTACAAAAATATTCATAATCATACAAAAGAACCTGATCTAGCTCCACAGAAACATCAGGTCGGTTTTAATTTTATCTCTTATTACCAGACTTTATAGTTGTATTTGTTAGCAGACATATCAGTTCCTGCAAAAAATCGATTGACTCAGAATTTTCTATCCAGGTGAAGCGCAAACTAGATGTTTGTCAAGAACAGGATGCTGAAGAAATCCCTATTGTTCCGGTAATTCACTCATTCTTACATAAGCTAATTTGAGCATACTAACAGTCACAAACCTTTATTTAATTAGAACAGACACTTATCTGTTGTATTTTTGCTAGGCTAAACAGGTCAAAAGAAAACAAAATGTCAAAGCTAAGAAAAAGGTTGCAAAGAATAACGTCTAGGAATGCAACGACAACATTGGTGACTCCATTCCAAATGATAACGACCTGCTGCTAGTGAATTTGGTGGGATGGTCTACCCCTTCTAACGCCTTCTAATGATCAGCTACTGTGATAGGCCAATCTTAAAGTTGTAACTACAATTTTAATCGGTATCAGTTATTTGGGGGAGTACCATAATATGAAAGTTAATCTCTTCGTTAGTTATGATATTATTGTTATGAGGTTATTGTTATGTCCTGTAGTTTTTGCACAAGACTTAATACTTGCTTTATGTTAAAATTGTGGTCACAAACCATAATATGGGACACTTTGTCTCTGTTGTATGTATGTGGATTAAGTCTCATTCGTAAGTGTTATTTTTCTTACATCTGTTTATGTTATTATTATTTCAATTGTTGGGGTCAAGTCATACTCAAGTTGGCATTGGTTTAGACCGATAACATTGTCTTTATACTGCTTTATACTCAACTTAATAAAAATGAAACAAGGCTTGATTTGTTTCTCAACTGTAATCCAAGGCATTGTCCTGAATACGGGTTGGAACAACAACGTATTCGGCAAATGTTAGAAACTAGCAAAACGGACCAAAGGCCATATTCAATATTCAATATGGGACATTTGTCATATAATTATGGACTTTACTCATATTAAGACCCTAACTTTGTTTGTTAGACAAAGTCACATCACCCCCTCAACAAACCGTCCAACACATCTTTAATATAAAATGTCTTCCTAACTTTGAACTGGGCTGTTCATTTCGTCTTATTATATTAATAATTTGGTTTACAAATCCAAAAATACATTTACGTGATTAATTTGACAATAATGAAAAAAATAGATTTAACTTTACGGATATTTACACGACTTTCACAATTTTCGGTTATTTTTCTGGTTTATATAATTTTAAAACATCATAATTTTCAGAAAACAAGAATCCGATCCGAAGCTATTAATATTTTGGATCGAACCAAATTGATAATACTTATTGGATTGGATTAGTTTTATGTTTTTATTCGAAGTGTTGGACACCCATACTTTGAAAATTCGCTTTATCCAAATTGGATCAAAATATTGGACACTTACTCGGTGGCCCAAAAATGAATACATCATTAATCAAAATAACAAACACTATTGGGTAGCCCATGTTTTGTTATTGGGTGGTATTTAACAATGTAAAAGGGTTATACTTTCTAAAAACAATTATACATACCCAACTATTACCTTTACATGTAAGGGTAGGGGAAATAAATGATTATTCCTTCCTAAAACATATGCTATTAACTTATAACAAAACGTATCAGGTAACACATATTAATAAATCGTTAAAAATAATACTGGCTTATATAAAATATAAACATTCAATAATGCGGCCTTAACACAAATTTTAACTTAATAAACTTTAAAACATAATTTTACTGGCCACTTTTGGAATGTCAACAAAATAATGGGCCTCTTAAAAGTGGCCATATTTCAGTCCATGAACACTAAGTTGACCCAGCCCAACTAATACAAACATGGACACCGTAATCAAAGTAGGCTAACGACTTGCACACATACATTAAAGGTACATACTTGCATATTATACCATACTAATGACTTACACACAATTTTATATCACGATTAATAACCTATTTAGTAATTGCAATACCGGAAAAGTAAAAGATAATTAATAAGCAACATCTTGTTAAAGCCGCCATAAAACCCCCATGCAATTTCGTTTACTCATTTAACACCACTACGACAATTTCATCTCCATTCTCTATCTTTGCACCACCAACGGTATTGACAATGGCGAGAGACTTCCTTTCGTGGATGAAAATCACATTACCAGGATCCACGTTGGCTGCCTCGGCCCATTTGTGAAATAGATTAACCAAAAGAGTGTCACTTCCACCCGACACCTTGACCTTTATTGGGTCCCTTGCTACCTCAGTAATGTAGAAGACTTTGATTCTTGTATCAAGGTTTATCACATGGGGCTGCAAATAAAATAAATCACATCATAATTCCATTAAGCTCCGACTT